CCTCCGCTCCCTCTGAAATCAGAGTCCCCAAGTCTATCAATTAGGCTCCTCAGACTCCAAAACTTGGCTTTGTCTTCCCCTTCTCCACGGCTCCTGCTCTCATTCAGGCCCTCGTTGCATCTAAAGGACTATCATCATTTGCTAGTGGCTTCAGGTCTCAGTACGTAAGCCCATACATCATAGTGACACCAAAGTCACCTGTCAATACCTACATCCATCATGTCACTCCGATGCCTGAAAACGTTCATGGGCTCCCACAGGTGACGTCCCCATCCACATTTTTAAGAAATGCGGTGGGAACTATCACTTATGCCCATAACTTGTTAGAACCGTTCTAAGATATTTTTCACTTAATCATCACACCAATGCCAATGAAATAAATACAATGATCCTTGTCTTACAGATGAAGAAAATAAGGCTAATCGTTATCCTCTAACGGAAGCCAAATCATCTGTCCATTCACAATCGGGTTTGACCCCAGCCTGTACATCTGTCAGAGCAATGAATTCCCTTCTTGTCTACAGAAATAAACTCTAAAAGTCAAGGCGCAAAAGGAAATTTCACATAATCAGAGCCAAACTGAGAATCTCTCAGGAGGGCTGAGTGAGCACAGCCAAGGTCCCTGTCAGTGCTGGAAAGAAGGCTGTTTGTTTGGCTGCACCAGCCGAAGGAGCTGCCCCGCATCCCCTGTCCTGTGAAAATGTAGTTCTCTTTCTGTCTTTGCTGAGCACGTACAGATGAATTTGTGTATAACGTTTGGAACAGTTAACAGAGCACTTGGAATGCGCCATGTAAATTACTTGTCCTTCCCAAGCAGAGGGTGCAGAGACCCTTTGCCTTCTTAGCACCTAGCACTGTACTTTGCATGTAATGGGCAGCTAATTCATGTACTTATGGGGGGAAATTAACAGCCCCTCTTCTTTATCTTACAGTTCAGCTCCTTCAATAGTCATCACAAATGTCAAATTAGTTGAATGTGGATTAAGAGGACTGTCGGGTAGGTGCTCATTTGCTCCTTCAAAACCAGTGATCTATGGTCAACGAGACTAGTCTGCCTCCCCGTCCTGCACGGCAGTGGGTGATGCACATTCAGGCAGACTTTGCAGGTATCCATCCAGTTGAGAGCAACATCTTGCAAAGTCAAGAGTCTGACAGTTCCCACAGGCTCCTCTGAGTCAAAGCTGAAGTGCAGGTTCACGGGTGGAGACAGCTGCTCTGAAAGCTGCCTCATTTTCTGGGCTAGTGTGGTCAGGAACAGGAAATTGAACCTGTGGTATTTTGGGCTCTGATTCTACCCTGCCCTTAAAAAAGCACTCAGCGACAGTGGGGTCTGGACGTGTGGAAAGAGTGAGCTCATCGCATGTGTCCGTTGGGCAAACAGAAGACGTTGGGAGCCTGAGGCTGGAGCTTCGCCACTGGGTCCACCTGCTCAGTGTCCCGGGGAAAGCCCTGTGGTGCTGGTGCACAGACACTCTGTCCCTGTGTCCAGAGTCCTTAGGCTGCACAGGCACCACATTCCTGCCGGCTCTTCAGCAGCGGGCCTGTAGAGTGAAATCCACAAGTCCTGCTACAACCAACCTAGTGGCCAGCACATTCCTACACTCACTACATTCTGAACAACATCCTGAGAGTCCCAGACCCGGCCTGCCTACTGCCCCAGGCCAGCTCCCTAACCCTCTGGTCTGTTTCCGCTCTGGGGACAATGTCATTTGCCTTGCATCATTGTTCCAATCTGCTTTTTCTATCTGATCAAATCAAACAACAGGGGCGATGCATTTAGCACAGTGCCTGCTACATCAATAATCAGCAGTATTTGCTAGAATTCCTCTCTCAATTCTTACCCCATATTGATCTCAAAGTATAAGTCAAAGTCTTTACAATGGCTTTGAGGCCCTTCCAGATCTGCCCCTCATCGCCTCTCTGATCTCACTTCCTGCTTTTCTTCCCCTCACCCACTCCATGTGGACTTCTCTGTCATTCCTGCCACATGCCAGGCTTATGGCAGGAATGACAGAGAAGTCCACAGGTTTACTCATACACCTGGTGCCCCACATGGTCTGATGTGCTGGGACAGTGCCTGCTTCAGGAGACATCCAACAAGTCTGTGCTGAATGAATGAACTAGCTTGTACTAATTGTAATAATTGTAACTAATAATAACTTTAGAGAACTGGACTCTGGACTAAATACATAATTGCAGAGGTCTTGATAGTTTGTGACTGCTTCTGAGAGAACCAGGACTCTGGCTCCTCCCCCTAACGAGAAACTATTCCAAGTGCTTCCATAAATTAGTTCATTTAATCCTCACCCCACCCTTCACCATGTGGTGAGGTATTATTATCAGCGCTTATTTTAGGGAAAACCAAGCTCTGAGAGGTTAAGTAATTGCTAAAGGTCACAAAGGTAGTGAGCGATATAGACTGATGTCATGTGCCATTGACCCTACTACCTCAGGCAGATGACTGTTTTGAATGCTATTTACTGTCTGACTCTCCCTGACTTTGCAGTCCTTTCTGAAGCCAGCAATACAGGCAGGATTTTACTCAGCGCCTCCTCCACCGGCCCCTGCTGCTGGGATTCCGGCAGGTTCCCCAGCCCATCCTGCTCCGGTTATGATGCGGCAGCTCAGACCAAGTGGTAAAGCAGACAGTTCACTTCAGGGACAGAAAGGCACAAATGTTTTGCTTTGTTTTTCTTACAGCTTATTCTTCACAAAACCAGCCGATCACTGAGACACAGAAATGACTTTTTCTCCAACAAATAATGACAGGATTTAAAGTCAATGGGTCGTACTGTTTGGAGCTGCTGCTGCTGGTTAAGCAGGATGCTACAGAGCTGTTTGGGGAAACTGAGGTCAGCTGCAATGTCCTCCCGTCACTTCCCCAGTTAGTGCCCATCCATCCTTCAGCACCCTGTCCCCGCTGAAGCTGCTCAGACCAGCCCTGTCCTCAGCCTCCTGCCTCCCCCTCCAGGCTAGGCCTCTGACCTCCACCATGACGCCTGCTGAACTGCAGGGACACTACCTGTCCTACACGGGGCGAGGGGCCAGGACACATGCTTGTACCCTCTGTGCTCAGGAACAGAGGAGCTCCGTAACTGACCGTGGAACGGACTAGACCGCCCTCCTGTGATACCACAACCTCGGAGATCTCCCAATCTGCCTTGTCACCTTTGACCCGGCTCAGACTGAGATCTAAATGGCACAGCCCTTGAAGGGGCCCAGTTCTAGTTCAAGAAAGCCACCATTATGTGGAACAGTCTTCAAACCCAATGCTCTCGCCATCTGCTAAAAGTTCTCCCCTGGTCTCGATGAATTCAATACCCTCAACTCTCATTACACAAATGTATTCAAGGAGTCTTTACATTTTCCTAAGGGGTCTTTCCCCTCTGCAAAAGATAGCTCAACAATAAATTGTCATTTCCTCTCGATTCAGCCAACACATTGGTTGTATCGACGAGAATATTTATAAGCTCTTGCGTTCTACTGCACACAGATTTAAAAATACAAAAATGTTTGTAGGGGAAGATAGCAATATTTTCAAGGGCTTACTTTCAGATATTTATTGGGTCACTGCAAAGGAACTAGCAAACCAGGGGAAAGAGTGACGCATTCCTTCTTACCAGCTTCAGACGGGGCTTTGAGTCTGCGTGCAGATGGATATTTCCAAAACCACTGGGCAGGGAAGCTAACTTTAAGCATCTGAGGAACAATCCCTAAGGGACTTTGAAGTGAGACTAACATCACCCAAACTTAGTCCTATCAATGCTGAAGCTATCGAGATTAATTTAAAAAAACACATCCTGCTTATTCTAAGCAATGTAGACATGAGTCTCAAACTGGTGACAACAAACCACATACCACAAAGTATTTAAATGAATCAGAAGTTCCAGAGCAGGTGGGGCCTAAATTCACACACACACACACACACACACATACACACACACACACACACACACACTGCAAAACACAAAACCACCAAAAAAAGACAGAAATCCCCAGCCCCTCCAAAACTAAGCCCATGGATATTAAGAACCACTGGTCATGTTCAATGGCATTTCATTTAGTTCTTATAACAATTGGTCCATTTCACAGAAGAGGAAGATAAAGGGAGGCAGTCTGAGGAACTCTGTCTCTCCTAACAAGGCACCCACAGGATTGGAAGTGCTGGCTGACAACATAGCTGAGGGCTCAAGAGAAGGCTCTCTGAGGCCAGACTGCCCGATTCCAAATACTGGCTCCAACACTTACTGGCCAGCTGATTTTGAGCAAGTTTCTTAATTTTATCTCAGTCTTCTCATCTGTAAAATGGAGTACACACTTCATAGAGCTGCGGTCAGGGTGAATGCGTAAACTCTTCTGAAATGCTTGCACACAGGCAGCACTCCTTCCACTCTTGTCTGACTTCAGAGCCCATGCTTTTTCTTCTATGGCAAGGGCTAGTGTTATGAAGCATAGAATCAACCTCCACAACAGTTCAGAACTGCTCTGCGGATTCTAAATCAGTGCAAGTTAATGAAGATAGTCCATTCCAGTTCTCACTGGGTTGCATTCCACGCGGAAGCGCTAGTATTGAGAAGCAGGCATCAAAGGACACAGAACTTGGTTCGACACAGAAAATCATTCCCCTCCTTGAGAACTGCCTGACAATGGAATGAGCTGCTTGTCCCAGGAGGTGCCTCCCTCAGCGGTGACTACTGAGTGAGCTGTACAGATGGGTCAGAACCGCTACCCTCGGGGCAGGGAGCACTGGGTGAGACAAGCTCCAGGGTTTACCTGCGATTCCACACCTGACACTGGAGAAGATATCAGCATAAAGGGCTGCTTTTTTGCCAGGTTCTTTAAGGGATGTAACTGTAGTTACATCACACTCACTCACCTTGACTGAAAAGCATGAATGGTATGAAATAAAAGCTGTTAAAATGGGTGTGCCTGTGTGTGAGTGAATGTGAGATGCTAATTAATTCCTTGATTTTTAGGCTCCCTTATAGTAAGTGGCCCAGTGAAATGATTATAGTAATTTAATCAAAGTTAATAGTAATTTAATTGACTATGAATAACTAGGTTTACAGGCAGAGCACAAATACTGCTTGAATTTCTAAATATACACTATCTTTTCTATGCAAAACAGTAATCAGAGGTCCTTGGTTTTCAGAGGGAAAACTAGTATAAGCAATGTTTTTTAGATTTCTTAAGAGGAAAGAAGTAAAATCGCTAATCCGTTTTCATTTTAGGAAAGATACAACTTGGCCATTTCCCAACAGAAATGACCAGCCTTGGTGGGCTCCTCTCTAGCAGTCTTCACCTCATGCTTATGTGCGACAACATGAGGGATGGGAAGGCAATCTTAAAAGCTTTCACAGAAACAACTATGACTCCCTCCCCCCCCAAACCAACCAACCAACCAACCAACAAACAAACAAACAAACAAACTCTACTAGTGTAAAACTCACCAGTATTTGAGGTATGCTCTCTCTCATTCACTCACTCATTTTCTCTCTCACACCCCTCCATTTCTAGTATGTGCAGTGGCACCGGGAAGGGAGGGCCACAGTGTTCAGTAAATATGCCACGTGCACAGAGGAAGTTGATTGTTGAGATGCTCAGGGCACAAGCTCCGAATAAGGCAAGCATGAAATGTCATTAAAGCTCACGTTGTAAATGGGATAATCCCTAGTGGTACCCGCTTCAGAGGGCCCTGAAAAGAAGACACAGGCCACCAATGCACAGCATTACTACACCGCTCAGCTCACGTCCATGCTTGATGAGCACTAGTTATACTGTTACTTTTATAACTACTCAAGGGTCAATCACTTTCAAAAATAAAAATCTAAACTACAATTCCTACTAATACTTCAATAAACAGCATTTACTAGTAGTTCTTCTTGGGTAGTTCTAAAGGCACACGGGTCCAGCCACACAGTAATTCAGGGTCTGCATTAGAGGCAACAATTACCATTGGGCGACAATGTGCTTAAGTTTTAGCCCAAATAATATTTTAGTTAATAGAAGGCTCAAAATAGAATTTACTAAAGCTGACCAACCAACCAAACATAACCAGCTCCTTCAATATATATAGTTAATGATTTCCTTTACTTGGGGAGGCAAAATTCAAGCTCTGCCCATAAAACTAGCTGATATCCCCTAGCCCCCCACCGAACTAAGCCACATTAATGTATATTAAAAGGCAAGGAGTAACTAAGGCAGAACATATGTGATACACGGGGAAGGGATTAATTACCCACTCTTAGGCCTTCTCCTTCCCTCCTCGGTCTGCCCAGCCTGCTCAGAGCTGAGCTAACTGCAGGCAGGTGTGCTGAGCCCAATGACGACAACCTAGATCTGGGAGGTCTTCTCTCTGTGGGTCAGGGAGGATGATCTGTTTTCCCTTAGGGTTTCTTTTGGGGGAAACTTTCTGAGAAAAACTGAGACCTTCTCTGAAGAAAGCATCCTCTGAATTCTGACCAACTTTTAATTTGGTTTTGGTTTCTCCCCAAATGGCTTTTGTGGAGGCTCCTTTTACGTATCTGCTATCTGGTGAAATCAAGATGGTGAAACCCTGACACCTTCTGGCCCCCATCCTTTTCTTTCTTTGACAGACACACAAAGATAACCGCACTAAGAGCTCCCACAGAGGGGAGAGATGGGAGGTACAAGGGGTACGAACTCAAGTCTAGGGATACAAGCACAGGGCTGACAATCACCGTGCTTCTACAGGAACCAAGGGATATGGAGGCATACCAAAGCCACGAGAAGGTGCTTTCCTGTCATCTGCAGCCAAACCCGATGTCATCATAGCCACACGGCATTCAAGAAAGTCCAACCTATTTTAGGTGGTTTCAGGTGACAGGTTATTGGCCCACATGAGAGAGCCTGATGGTTATGGAGGAGAAAAAGTTCACTGTGCAGTGAACAACTGCTAATCTTGACTGATAAACCAGCAGAGACATGCATCTCCACTCTCCGGGGCTTACTGGATGACATCACACCGCGGGTTTAATCAAAGTGCTGTCTGGATTATCCGGTAAATGTCACATAATCACACTTGAGTACCTTAGATAAAGGCCTCAGAATGATTTCACAGGGCAAAACAAACCTCCCAGATGAGTGCATGACATGAACTCCTTTACCCTTGTGATCTTTTGGGTATAACTCTAACCCCACACATGACATTTGTCTTGAACAGAACTATGATTTTGTTTTAGAAAATAATCCTGTAATACAAGAGTTTCCATTAGACACATAAGAAAGTATCAGATTGAAGCTTTTGACATAGGTTGGTAAAATAAATATCACAATATCAATCCATCAGGGGAAATGCATATCAAAACAATGAGAGAAAACTTCACACCAACTAGGATGCTACAATCAAAGAGACAGATAACAACAAGTGTCGGCGAGGACGAGGAGAGATTGGAACCCTCATACACTGCTGCTGGGAATGTAAAATGGCGCAGTCGCTTTGGAAAACAGCCTGGCAGTTCCTAAAAAGGATAAACATAGAGTTACCATATGACCAGCAATTGCACTCCCAGACATATACCACGAGAAATGAAAGTAAAAACATATGTCCACTTGTACACGAATGTTGATAGCAGCATTACTCTTAGCAGCCAAAAGATAGACAAACTCAAATGCCATCAACTGATGAATGGATAAATAACATGTGGTATAGCCACACAGTGGAATGTTACGTAGCACTAAAAAGAAAGCAGTTCTTTCACATGCTACAACACGGATGAACCTTAAAAGCATGATGCTAGGTGAGAGAAGCCAGTCACAAAAGGCCACAAATGCATATTTATAAGAAATGTTTGGAACAGGCAAATCTACAGACAGAAAATAGATTAGTGGTTGCCTAAAGCTGGGGGCTTGGAGGAAAATAGAAAGTGAATACTAATGGATACAGGGATTCTTTTCTAAAATGTTCTAAAATTGATTGTGGTGATAGTTACTCTGCGAATATAATAAAAATCATTGCAACGTGCAGGTTAAATGGGTCAATTGTGAATTATATCTAAAAATGTTGCTAAAAAAAGGCATTTTAGCACATCAGGTAGGAGGAAATATGATAGACGAGCTACAGCAGGAATTGCTTCTTTAAGGATTCCGATGGCATCCTCTCTCAACACTCTGGGAGTCACACCTGTCAGGTAAGGTCAGGACCTAGAGAATGGCTTTCAAAAATTTTAGCAACCTCCCTAATGCTTACAGTCATTTGCTACTTCTGCTATTCAGTATCCTTGAGGATTAAGCTTTTTCCCCCCATTTGTAGTCCTACATTAATCAGCATGGAACTTTCCACTTACTAAATGCTCAGTTACTATTTCCTGAATTGAATTCCAATATATTTAAAAGAAAAATAACCAATTGGGGACCATACATAAAAGTCAAATGAAGAATATTTTGCCTTGTTTGAAGAAAGATAATCAGCACCACTACAGCTCTCTCTCTTTTTTAATCCTCACCCGAGGATATTTCCCATTGATTTTTGGAGAGAGTGGAAGAGAGAGAGGAAGACAAAGAGAAATATTGATGTGAGAGAAACACACCCTGCACACACCCTGACTGGGGCCTGGGCTGGGTAGGAGCCTGCAACTGAGGTACCTGTCCTTGACCGGGATCAAACCTGGGACCCTTCAGTCTGCAGGCTGACACTCTACCCATTGAGCCAATCACCACTACTGCTCTTTACCACACGAAACCAGGGGCATCTGAAATGCAATTAAGTCCCTAAAATATTAATCAGTGCTGGTTATAACAGGAAGATTCATGCTATTCAATTGCCTGGTTTGTATCCCCCTTGATAAAATCTGAACTGTCCTGGACAGCAGTCACTTCCAAAGTGATTTATATCCAATAGCTCTGAGAGTGCGGGTGAGGCAACATTCCACTTCTTTGATATTTAATGTCAGGAAATCCCCAGGAGGTCTATTGTGGTTGTCGTTTTATTTTTCCTATATTACAGCTTTATGTTCAAGAGGATGAGCTTTGTAGCTAGTCCAGCCTGGCTTTTCTGCCATTTATTACTAGCTGTTTAAGGTTGGTTCAAGCTACCTGACATCTCCATACTTCAGTTTCACCATTTGTGAAATCCGTGCCACGGGATTTCTGTGAAGACACAGAGCACCTAGAAGAGTGCCTGGAATATAGCAAGTTGCTCAACAGTGAAAGCGATTACTATAGTAGAATTCAAATGTGCAGAACCCCTGAAGCAGAACTGAGGCATAGCTATTGTTAACATAGAGAGGAACATACAGAACCGAATACAAACCAGGTCTACTGAGATGGATCAAAGTAAAACTATGGAATCAACTCTTCTCCAAGTTCCTGATTGGGAAATACTATTCTAGACCATGGGTGTTTTTGTAAAAGACAAATTGGAACAATTTCAAATTTTCTCAACAAAATTCTTGATACAAAGGGAGGTTTTATACTATTTTCCTTTTCATAGATTCTCTATTATTGCTTGTAAGACAGACACTGAGAATATTTACCAATATCAAAATTCTCCTCTTCCTCCTGGATCCCTAACTACTTTTTCAGCCTTCCCTGTAGGTAGGTGTGGTACATGTGACTCAGTCCTGGCCAATAAAATGTGAGTGAAAGTGATGTGTATTTCCTGGTCTAGATCTGGCCCAACCTCACTCTTTCCCCATGGGACCCATTTGAATGGAGGGGATTCAGGAGGAGGGAGCCACAAGATGGAAGGAGCCTGGGTCCTTAAATAACTTTCTGGAGTAGACTGCCCCCAACCACACTGTAATTTATAAAGGGAAAAAGACACAGTAATAAGCCACTGGGGATTTGGAGTTGTTTATATAGAAGTACCTGTTAGTTACTCTAATTAATACAGCTAGGTAGAGCTTTGCTAATTATTGTTTAGCGGATCAGGTTTGCTTCCAGAATAGTTCTTTCTCTGTTAGATACTGGCAACATGTATACTAATAAAACACATTTCACAGATCCCTTCTGCTTGGTCTCTTTTACCATCACCATGATCACTAGATACAATCTCTCAATCATACCCACAAAACATATCCAGGTGTATTATCTGATCCTGCCGGATTCCTCTTGAGAGGATGTCTTCTGCATTGTGTTATTTGTAATCTTAATACAGATCTCTTTACAGAGCTGGCCAAGGGATACCTCTTACTGTGCACTTAATTAGTCACCACCTCAAAAAATTGTTTTATAATTACATCAAGCTCTGAGGAGCTGACCAATTTAAAACTCTCAGGCAAAAATTAAAAGCTATCAGCAAACACTGATTACATTTACTTATAATTTTCATATAGCTCTTTATAGCAATCTTTTAGTAAGTAGCCCTTGTATTTAATGTAACCACAACTTTTTTTGTATTAAAGTTACAAATGCAGTAAAATGTAAATGGAATCCTTTATAATTACTGTCATCAACCTCTTGGGATAAATAAGCCAAGTTTGTATAGCTACCGTGGCTTTAACACCATCAACAACTTTCTGCAAGTTTCTATTCTTGCTTGGTAACACCTCCTTTTCCTCTTCCCTCTCTTTAATGGTCTCAGTGCTCACTACAATTATAGCTTTTTAGTAGCTATTTTATCGCCTGATTTCATTACTAGACTGTAATTCCCATGAAGGCAGAGCTCATATCTGATTTTGTTCATCCAATAAATATTCCCTGAATGCCTCTTGCCAGACCCTGCTCCAGGAACAAGAGAATTGAACATTAGGATATGGTATCTGGCCTCACGGTTCATACAGTTTGGTGGAGACAGGTAAAAAGCCTATAAATAATATATGCGGGGATGAGTGCTGCTACTATGTTGTATCATCACTTCATGCTTCTTTGGTTTTTGGTGGTAGAAGGGGTTGTCTATCTATCTCATGATAGCCCAGCCAATCTGAGAACTGCCTCTTTTGTATTCATGTGGGTGCCAAAATACCCATATTTGTATCATGTGGCTCTGTCCCCTTGACCACAGTTGCTTGGATTGCAGTAGACTTTGACCTATGCTGTATCAACCAACTTCTCCATTCTGAGAGGCTGGAATTGGAACTGAGAGACTCTAATTTGGTCTGAGCTCTGTAGTTGAGATGAAAGAGGATATGTACCTCTGAGAGTGCTATGTGGTAGCCATCTTCTACCAGGTGCCAGGGATACTGAGAAAGCTGGCACAGAGAGGAAAGAAGCAAGGATGGAAAGGAGAGATGGGAGACTGTCTGGAATGACGAAGACCTCAAGACCCCACTTCTCATTCTGGTTCTTGTCCCTTTCCCCATGAGATATCCCTGCTTCTTGATAGCTATTCATTTTTGTAGCTAAACCTATCTTGTGTTACTATATTCTGCTTTCAACCATGACTTAACTGAAAGATTTCTACTTAAGCTCATTCACTTTAATATAAGACATACTAGAGGCCCAATGCATGAGATTTGTGCATACGTAGGGTCCCTAGGCCTGACCGTAGATCATGGCCGATCTGTGAGGTAACCGGTGGAGAGATGAGGGGTGTTCCACTGGCACTGGCCTTGGCTAGCCTAGCACCACCAACTCTCTGGCCGGCCCCAACCCCTGCTGGTTGCCTCCCTCTGTGGGGCAATTAACAGGGCGATTGGGTAGCCCCAAATGGCACATGCCTTGGCTGGCCTGGGGCCTGTGGGCTGGGGGCAACTCCTGCGTTGAGCATATGCCCCCTGGTGGTCAGTGTGCATCAAAGCGACTGGTCATTCCACCGGTTGTTCCATTTTTTGGTTGATTTGTATATTAGGCTTTTATTATATAGGATGGGTTACTACCCAAAGAATAACTTTTGTATGTTATAAACAAGGGCTGGGGAGCCTTTTTTTTCTGCCAAGGACCATTTGGAGATTTATAACATCATTCAATTAATATAATTCACCTAACATAAATTTACGCTGCTATGAAGAAAGCTCCTAGATTTATTGAATTTCTAGTCCCGCTTGCAGTGGCCTTGGCAAGGTCAGGCCAAATGATTCCTCGGGCCTTATATGGCCCACAGCTGGACGCTCCCCATCCCTGTGATGCCTCAGTTGGATTTTAACACTTAGGAATTCTAACGATCTTCTCAGGTGCTCTTGGAGAGGTTTCCCACTGTCCTCACTGGTGATTTTATAATGCAGACCCATTTCCACTCAAGGGCAGAACATCAAAGCCCAACGTTCTTTAAACTCCTGTGAAAAACACTATCACATGTGTCCACCAGCTTTTGTGGCCAGTTAACATTCAGGGGAGAAAATAATTCTTCTTATAAACATCAATGGTGTATTTGTACTCATAAACAAAAAGGCTTTGATGAAAAATGCTTTGATTTCGGCTCAGTAGCTGATCAACGAGACTGATTAACAACTGTTAACTGGAGACATCAGAATTGGAACACATCTAAAACAAATGGTTTTAGGGCCCTATCAAGAAAGAAACTTAAGCTTTATATTTGGAGGGGGAGGTAGGGAAGATAATACACTAGAGATTTCAATATCAA